TCTGTCTACAGTGTTTGAAGTAAACGCTTTGTTACTTAAGTAAATCTTCAAATATGTAGAAATTTAATTAATGCATAGTATCCAATATTTTCTTATTGTTACTGGCTTTAAAATTACATAAAAGTATGACATGATGGGTGTACTGACCTGTTGACCTCTGTTTTTGGCACATTCTACATCTGTAAGAAAAACAAAGACAAGAGAAAATGAAATTAAACTCTGGAAGAACCTAATCTTATTAGAAAAATAGTCTTTCATTTGTGTTTCAGCTCTCAGCCTGTCATAAAAATATGACTCTCCTCAGAGCTGTGCTTCAGCATATCGAGGTTGAAGCTTTAACACAGATTTTTAAAAAAATTTTTTGGCGCAGGATTAGAGTGTAGCCAAAAGGATGGAAAAGCTGCTATAATGATGAAGAGTTTGTCTTATTATTTCCTATCTCATAATCAGAGCTTAGGAAATATTGAAAAAAACAAGCAAGTTTGATATTTAGAAAGTGTCTGCTATTAGGTAGCAGGCATGAATGGCAGAAGTTGGACCAGTGGTTGAAAATTCTAGGGAGGCAGATTTAACTCAATAATGGAAGAATAATAATAGTTCATGCTGGGGTCAGCCCTTGTGGTATAGTGGTTAAGACTGGCCAGCTCCACTTTGGCGGCCCAGGTTGAGGGTTCAGATCCTGGGTGTGGACCTACACCACTCCTCAAGCCATATTATGGGAGCAACCCATATAGAAAATAGAGGAAAATTGGCACAGATGTTAGCCTAGGGCTAATCTTCTTCAAACAACAAAAAAGAAAGAGGAAGATTGGCAACAGATGTTAATTCAGGGTGAATCTTCCTTGCTGCACCCCCCCCCCCAAATAATAATTCACTCTACCAAACAATGGATTGGACTGTTTTATGAAGAAATGAAGTTCCCATAAATGGTGATATCAAGTCAAAGCAAAGTCTGGATGAACACTTCCCAAAGAAGTTACACAAAGTGTTTATATGAATAAGAATTTGGGCTTAGCTGACCATTTAGGTCCACTCAGCCCCTGAGATGATATGATTTAGTGATTTATTGATGGAGACAAAATAAAAGTTTGAAAATTGTTTCTCTTATTATCTATGGTAGTAAGTGGTGAGCATATCCCAGCATTCTGTGGGCAGAAGATGACATGAGCTATTGGTATTAGGGCAGGGGCAGGGTTATGAGGGAGATACTCACGAAAGTTGGTTGTAAGCGCCAGAACCAAGAGCAAGACGAAGGCTGTTCCTCTCATGTTGCTGAAGTGGCCAAGGGCAGTCAGATGGAGGCAAAAGAAGTGACTTTCTGGCGTCTGCCCAGCTCAGTTGGGTCCTGCCTTATATATTGTCCGGAATTCCTGCCTCAATTGTGAAATAGCCATCTCCAGCAACAGAATCCTGGGAAGAAGTCAGAAACATCTACCAGGTATGCAAATTCTTTTATTGTGAAAGACAAGTGACTGCACTTGATCTTTTAATAAATAATGAGGCTCAATTATGCTGGCATTATTTCCTTCGCTCTTTCCATGCTTAAAAGCTTGAGTGCTTCCACATGTATTATACAATTTGGTCTTCATAACAAATCTGTCAGATAGTCATTACTATTTTCTTTGTTCTACAGATGAAGAAGTGATGTCACAAGGAAGTTAGGTAATTTCACTGGGTTTACTACACATTCTTCGCTGTACTACTTTTCCCAGGAACAGTCATCAGCATGGCACCTTTATAGGTTTTGACATTTTCCCAGGTTCCCTTTTTTCCTTTTCTCTTCTCCAGCACCACATGGAAAATGGTGCCAGTTGGACATCAGACTGGGCACAGAGAAAAGGTATCAACACCCAAGCCTTGATTCAGCAGAAGAAAGCAATGATTCATGCTCTTTTAGCAGGGGGATAATTTTCCCAAGAACCCCCCAATTTGGCGAGATGGTACAATGAGTGGAGCTGGTGAGCACTCGCACCACATTCACCTGCCGCGTAGCTGGTGGAAGCTTATTTGTCAAGGGACCGTGGGAGGAGGGTCTCCTCAAGGCCAATAATAAAGAGCTATGTGATCATCTTAACCAAAAATGATTTAGTGGCTGCAGTGTCTCTAAAGCTTTGGCCATGATTCTCTAGTCCCCAAACGCAGGCTGATGGTTCAAGAATGAGATGTTAACTTTGCCCTGAACCATAGTTACATACATGGCCAGTGAAGTCTTCCACTAGTACAGTCACTTTCAATAGACAAGCCACCAATCATTTGGCTATGGTTGAAAGAAGCTTAATTGTGCTTTCATCAAACCATGCTTCATTTTCAATATTTAATAATATTAAGCCTACAAGAACACTTATTTTGGAATTTGCGCATTTTCAAATGGAGCAACTCTATGAGAAGAACTTGGAAACAGCTCTTGCAGTTTCAGTAGATAGAATTGGATGACACAGTCTACAAAACTAATGGAAGTAGTGCCAAAGGCTGAGAGATTAAAATTCATAATTGTTTGCCTTTGAAATGATAAAGACAGCTGGAACCTGTGCGGGGATGGTCTGAGGGCCGGCATCATAATACTACTGAGAGCTGAAACTCTAAGTCTTGCAGAGCTGAATTCATTGCCAGCTCCACCATTCGCTATGTGACCCTGTGCAAATTATTTGACTGCTATAAGCCTTAGTTTCTTTGTCTTCATTTGATCATTCGGGAAATATTTATGAGCATTTACTCTGTCTTAGAGACTGTATTACAACTTG